TTGAACGTGCATTACCATATTGGCATGATGCTATTGTACCAGCAATTCGTTCAGGTCAAAAAGTACTTATTGCTGCACATGGTAATTCATTACGAGCATTAATTAAATATCTTGATAATGTACCTGATCAAGAAATAGTTGAACTTAATTTACCAACAGGTATATAAATCGTCTCATGTAAAAATATTAATCATGTTTTTTTGATATTAAGGTATTCCTCTTGTTTATGAACTTGATGAAAATTTAAATCCAATTAAACATTATTATGTTGCACCTGATGATGTTGTTCAACAAGCTATTGATCAAGTTGCTAATCAAGGAAAAGCAAAGAAATAAAATTATCAAATTATATCTATCCAAACATTATCGCTCACTAGTCGAAAATTGAATGATATTTTATTATAACCCCATACATAGAATTTTCCCGTAGTATCTATTATTTTTATGTATGAATTTAGTTTATTACATAGTATGACATCATTTTAGAAAATATTTTTCAATAAAGATTTTATTTTATCAACGAATAAAAAAATACATCTATAATTTACTAATTAAGAGAAGAGGATTTTGTTGCCTAATACACTCGAGTTTCAAATCATACGATTATTATAATACTAATGGTAGCGCGTTTTAATTTATTAAACTTGTGCGATTTTTGTTTTTTTCATTATGATTAAAAATAATTCATCAGTATTACATTTTATTAAATCGAATAATTTTGCAAATACATATTCTAATTCACTAATGACTGGAAATATATCTAAATCATTCTTTAATTTACTTAATGATAAATCTTTAATTAATTCATTTGAATGTGAAAATGATACACCATTAGGAGCTGGTGAATATTCATTTCTTGTCTATGGCGGACAATATTTAACTTTATATAATATTGATGGGCAACTATATCGAATACCTTGGAATACAAATATTTATGATTCTATTAAGCAAATTCGTTGGTCATCATATCATCGTTCGTATTTAATAATGACTGCTCGGTATTTTTCAATTTTTAATTTTTCTACATATGAATTATTACGAATAAAAAAAACATTTAAATCTCATGAACAGCTACAATTTTTTACCTGTCATCAAATAGATTTGTGGCTTGTGTGTTTATTGACTCTAAACAAAAAGCAAATACTTGTTCATTATGATCTTTCAGAATGGGAATATAGGAAATCGATTTCTTTAGATAAATTAGGTTTATATCGAACGGATACAATATGTGCTATTGAAAATAATCAAAATGGACAATGTTTAGCTTTATTAATAGCTGAAAGAAATCAGAATATAACTGTTGGTATTCAACGACGACGTCGACTTATTCTTATTTCAACGTACACGATGTCTCCAATACGAGTGATTTATTTCAGTGGTGCCGATGATCTTTATTGGACAATCACATCAGTACAAAATCGACAAACTTCAAAAAATGGTTGGTTACTTAGTAAATATTTTGATAATGAATTAACTTTTATTGATAATCAATGTAATTATATTAAATATAAAAAAGAATTACGTAATTTAGCTATTACAATCGATGGACATTATTTAATATTAAGAACAATAAATAGTTTAGATATTTATCAGATCGATTAAAATTATCAAAATAAGTTTTATTTATTAATTCTTACATATAATAAAAAATAATTATACATATATCAATTGAGATTATTTTTATTTATACGTAAACAAAAGAAAATTTTATATCTTTTGATTTTGTTTTGATAATTTATGACGTGGTAAATCTTTGACATAGATTTGAAAACGTGTTGAACCTTGTCCTTTTTTTTTATCAAAAATAATATTCTCGGCATATACTCGACAAATCACATTGATTAATACATTTGGTTTAGGATTATTAAATTGAACCCATACATATGGTGCTTGATATACATTCCGACGTTGTTGCTTACCTCTAAAAGATATTTTTTATATACAATATAATTAGAAAAACGAATTTTCGTACGTATAAGGAAACCATTTTGTTTCAAGCGAACCACATTTATGATCGCGATTCTTTTCTGATATATATGTTATATTACCACCAATATTGTCAACGTCGATTGGATACTAAATAGAGATAAGTTATTAATCATATGTATAGGTATGATACGTATTTTTCCAAGTATTGGTTTCATAATTATCAGAAAGTGAATTTTGTTGTTGTCAAAAAAGAATTGTTCAGAAAATTTAAAGATACTCATTTTCATTACCAGAAAACTCACAGAAACCTATTAAGTTATCTTTCTTGTGCGTTTCGATGACACTTCTTTCTATTTGGAAACGAACAATACCTTATAGATGGCTCTAAAGTTGATATCTTTCAGTTATCGCCTTAATGTATGTTATGGAAATACTTAAGAGAGGGGGTCAGTTCACTTATAAACTCATGAAAGTTCTTGCCCATGTAAAAAAAAAGTGAGCAAAGTTCACTTATAATTAATTTTTCATGTTAATTAAGCGACTTTTTTTACTCTTTTTCAATTTGCATAGTACTTTAGAATACTTTTCCCACCTACCAAAGTATTTAATCGTACTTTTACTAGCTTCAAAGTATGGTTTATTACTTTTTTGGACTTCCTAAAGTACTTTTTAGCCAAAAAGTATGAAAAATACTTAAAGAGGTTTACTTATAAGTACTATTCTCTGTCAAAAAACAACTATTGAAAGTAGTTAATAGCCACTTTTATGGGTCAAATTTTTTGCATAGGTAATACAATACAGCTTTCAATTCTACTCCTTTCAATGTGTATTTTACAAATAAATTTATTTATTACTTCTCCATAGCAGTGAACAGCAATAGCGTTAGGACCTGGTTGACATCCAGCAGCTTTATATGCATCCTTATCTTCTAATTTATGGCCTGGACGTGGTTCAAAATCAACAATCTAATATAGAAATATAATTTTAATTAATTAATTTCTATTTCGTTTTACTTTATTCATTTTAACGAGTATACATGGTGTTCCATTAGAAAATCCATAATGATTATTAGGCGTACAACTACCTGGATTATCAATTGTAAATTTATTTACTTCCGCAGAATGATTATTATTCCAATAATCTAATAAAGAAAAATAATTCATTTTGGTAAATAATCGATTTATTCTTGTCTTGTAAAGAAAGTTAAATTAATATTTGACATAATTAATTCTCTTCTTTTTATTAAATATTAATAACATAAACTAGTGACGTTTCGTATCTTGATAAGATACTTCATCAGACATAAATATTAAACGAAAATGAACGTACAATAAACAGGTGTCTGGGTAAGGATATCATCCTTTTTCCGCATCACTATCAAAATTGACTAAAAACAGCCTAATTTATTAGTGTTTTCTATCATTGTTCTGTTTATTGTACGTTGATTTTCGTTTAATATTTATGCCTGACGAAGTATCTTATCAAGATACGAAACGTCACTAGTTTATGTTATTAATATTTAATAAAAAGAAGAGAATCAATTATGTCAAATAATCGATTTAGTACATACAAATTCTAAGGTATTGATCAAGATTTTGAATATAAGGATCCGATTCATAATCATTAGTATTAACAAAAACAAGACTACTATCATTTTTTGTAGTTGGTTGTGGTCGAAATCCAAGACCTAAAAATTAAATTTATAATTAATTTATTCAAAAATTCGTTTTTTTTAAAATACAAACCGGGTGAAAGTGGATTCGAACGAGTTTCCATACTTGATGATTCTCCTGAATAACGTGGACGATCATGCGGTGTTATTCCCATTAGTATAGCCACCATGGTACAAAAAAATCCCACCGAACCAATGTAGTAAAAGCAATAAAAAGTACTTAATTTTACTATAAAAAAAATCAATACATAATGAAAATACTCTTTAAATTATCAATTCTAACTTACGCCATTTAGCTCCATCTCTACCTAAAAATTCTCGACGTTTTGAATCATATACTGCACTAGTTAAATCGGATAATTGCCAACCCATAATGACTAGATTTCGATGGTAATATATATATATCTAGAAAGGTTTTATAAAATCTTTTGTATAAGTCATTCTTAATAAAAATAAAAGGAATATATTTTGTATGTATTATAGTCCTTTCTGTTCTTTCGACTCGTCTCTCCATTTTATCTCATTCGAATGAATAACAAAAAACATAAAAAAGAAAAAGAAAAACGGAGCAAAGAATGTGAACAGAGAAAACCAGATATCGATAACAAAGAATGTATGAAGGCATATGAAGCTATGTCTGTAATAGATCGATACAATTTATTATATCGAGAGAATGTGCCTCTTCTCATATATTTCCTTATCGAACAAAACGAAGTATCCCTTAAAATACTATCATTGTATCAAACTTAAAAAATCGAAGTTAAAATAATGTTGTATCGTTATCTATTTCAGTTCGAATACTTGTCGAATGATTAACTTGATTTATTTTCTAAAACATTCTGCTTATTTCTCTCAATCTGCAGCATATCATAGAGAGAAGTAATTCATTTACTATAATTTAATTATATCATAATTAACCAACTAATGTAATATTCATTTCTTATATATTCTTTGCTTCCCCGAAGCACTTGTATATTCTTTAAGATGACATTGACTAATATTATTTAACTATTCACAATCCTCTTCATACTTCATATTTTTCTATTACAGCGGAACAGTTTATATAATTCAATCAGATATTCTTATTTGATTTATTAAAAAGACTTCGTTTTTTTTCGATAAAAAAAAAAGAGTAGTGAAAAATTTTGTATCATCTCTGATTGGTCGAGCAAATATGCCATTAATTAGCGACCTCATATTATCGATTTTCATCTAATAAAAATTAAAATAGACATAATAGATATGTGATGAACAACTTTGATATATAACAAAATCATGTTTATTTGTAAGAAAATTTCATAACAAATTAATTTCTATTGGATCTGTTGTGCAATTACATCAATTTAATTTAACTTTACTTCGAAAAATAAAAGTCATTTTTTATAGATAGATTATAATCATGTCTCGTTTACATAAAATGTCCGTTCAAGGCATTCGTAGCTTTGGAAATCGAGATCAAGATACACAAGTTATAACATTTTTTTCACCATTAACTGTTATTGTTGGTCCAAATGGATCGGGTAAAACAACAATCATTGAATGTTTAAAATATATGGCAACAGGTATTATGCCACCAGGTGCTAAGACAGGTGGAGCATTTGTACATGATCCAAAAGTAGCACATGATACTGAAGTACGTGGACAAATTCGACTTTTATTCCAAGATGTTACAGGACATAATGTTCAAGTTCAACGTACACTTGTTGCTACACAAAAAGTACAAGAAAAATTGATCTATTTCGAATTTTTATATTTTTTTCGTTTGTATAGAAAACAAGTATAAGTCTGAGAACACTTGAAGGTGTTATTATTCGTGAAGGTATCAATGGTGAACCTATACAAATAACATCAAAATGTATTGAACTTGATAAAGAAATGGTAACAGCATTTGGTGTTTCAACAGCTATTCTTGAAAATGTTATTTTTTGTCATCAAGAAGAATCAAATTGGTTAGATAGAAAGATTTTATTTGAATATATGTATATATAAAAATGATTGTTTAGGCCATTGAGTGAAGGAAAACAATTAAAAAATAAATTTGATGATATATTTGCTGCAACAAAATATATGAAAGCACTTGAATTAATTCGAAAAATTCGAACAGAAAAAGTTTGTTGCATTTATTTTTTTTCAAATAAGATTTCTATTTATATAAAACTTTAATATAGTTACAAACTGTTAAAATTAGTCGAGCAGAAATTGGACATTTAAAAACATATCGTGATATGTTAAATCAAGTATGTCAAACATCTTTAGGTTTTTTTTAAAGAAAAATATTCATTTGTTTAGAAAAGAAGACAACATGCAGAAATCGATGAACGTCGACAAACATCAAAAGCTAATGTAGATAGTATTAAACTTAAACTTGAACCCATTGATGTAAGTAAAAATAAATCTTAAGATAAATTCAACGGAAATGTTAAAAGTCTTACATCAGTTCAGTCAGATCTCTAGATAGCATAATATGAAAAGACTACTGAGTTCGCAGTGAAATATAAACGGTTGTTGATAATTACAGTACTGATATTTTGAAACACTTGAAGAATTTCTAGTAACTTATATATTGATTGTGTATTTTCTTTTATAAAGTCTCGTTTGGAATTTATTGTTAAAGAAAATTCGAAAATGATTGATTTTCAACGACGTGTAGGTAATATTATTTAACTAGAATATTTCAATTTTAATATTATTCTTATTTCTTAGATCGTCTAACAAATGAATGTGAAGCATTAAAAAAACAAATTCGTGAATTAAATGCAGTTATTGATGAACCATTTCAAGGATCAGAAGATGAACTTAAATTATTAATTTCAAATTTTCAACGTGATCAAGATAAAAAGAAACGTGAACTTCAAGATGTAAGAAATTGTTTTATTTTTACTATAACATAAAGATTGAATAATTTTGACACATATCTTTGCAGTATAATTATTAACATAAACGAAAAGTTGATAGTAAATAAAAAAATTACAATTTTGACAAGAATAGTTTTAAGTAATTAATACGAGAAATGTTTTGATCTAGTTTGTCTCTTCTGTCAAGTACTACTTAGATGTTCTCGAGAAATTTTTCAAAGTGGGTTTATTACAGTTCGATCATGATTATTTTATATTGATAATCATGAACTATTTAAATTTTATGTTGTCGATACCTTGAAAAAAACTTCTTCTAGACTACTGACGGGAAAGAGACATAACGCGCCAAGTTTTTTTTACGGTTTCCCTGAGAAGATGTTCGTCACGACTTCCCGACATATAAAAATATACAAAATCTTCGGAATGAAAAAGATTTAAAACAAGCAAAGTGTTAGAGTCAGTGTGGGTGTGACTGTATAAGTCATTCTTTTCTCATAGTACACATCCACAGCCATACCATCACCCGATTTCCTGAAAATATTTTACATACTGTTGAGCATTTCGTTCCGATTTACCTGTATTTTTTAAGCTATGGTCCCTCTAACCAACATGTTTTACGGACTCCCGGTAAGAATGTTAAAAAAAAAGTCGAATCTGAACACCTGGACAAATTACTAGGTGTTCGGGATACTTAGTACGTTTTGTCTTTCTCCCCTACTGACCTAGTATGATTTCTAACCTTATTTCAAACCATTCTATAAGAGAGAATATTTGTAATATCGAACACATTCTTTCTATTTAGAAACTTTTAAATTTATTTCATTTTTAGTTGGAAGCTAAAAAGCTAGCCACTGAACGTCAAATGAAAAAACTTACTGATAAACGAACATCCGATACAACTCGTTTAGGAGCATATGAATTCGAAGAAAAACAATATAAATCAAATCTAATACGTCGTCTACAATTTCTTAATGAATATAATCAACAATCATCACAAATAATTGATAAAAATGATTTAATAAATTATTTAGATAAACAGATAAAAACTGAACAAAAACAATTAATGGAAAAACGTTTATTTTATCAACAACAAGAAACAAATATTCAAAAAGATTTCGATAAATTTCGAGAACAACGTATTAAAACTGAATCGACAATAAAATTAAAAAGTTCACAAGTTGAAAAAACTTTAAAAGAAATTCAAGATATAAAACAACAACAAAAACAAATTGAACAATATTTAAAACAATTAAATGATCTTAATAAACGTATTGAACGTAAAGAAGATGAATATCAACAAAAATTAACTAATGGTATTAATCTTGAACAATTAAAACTTGATATTAGTACAGATGAACAAAAACGTGTACAATTACAATTTGAACTTAAAGATTTAAATGATGAAATTGATAATTTACTTGTTAATGCAAAAATTAATACAGAATATGAAATGTTTAAGAAAGAGAAATCGGAACGTGATGAACAAATTAGAAAAATGTAAATATTTAATTTTTTTTTGACCCTTTGAAATTTTATTTTTTCTTAGTAAACTTCGTCATCATGAAATTCTTACGACGATTTTTCATGGTTCTATACCTGAACAAGATTCAAATATTTACACTCAATTTGAAATAGAACATCGTAAATTACAACAAACTCGTATGAGTTTAGAAAAACAAGTTCAAGATATTCGTCAAGAATTATCTGGTAAAGAAGAAAAACGACGTTTATTATCGGATGAATTAAAACGTAAAGATTCATTACGAAATGAATATAGTGATCGTTTACAGGAACAACTTAATGGACAGGTCTATGAAGAATATTTAGAAAAATTATCTAGTGATGTTAAACAAAAACAAGATGAAAAAGGAAATATTGTTGGAATGGAAAAAACTTATCAAAAATTTGTTAATCAAGTTCGATCAACATTAAAAAATGATCCGTAAATATCAGATATATAACAAAGATAAATTATTTATTTCTTTTTTTTCATATTATAGATGTTGTCCATTATGTTATCGAAAATTTGAAAAACAAACCGAAGGTGAACAATTAATTCGTGATATAGAATTACAAATTAAAGGTCCAGAATATCGACGTAAAATTGATCGAGATTTAGCATTATTACAAGAAAGATTTGAAAAATGTCTTAATCTGAAACCAATTCATAGTCAATTACAAGATCTTGAAGAAAAAGATATACCAGCATCAAAAACTCAAATGAAACAACTTGATAAAGAAATAAATCAATTAAAAAATAAACAAACAAGTATTGAACAAGAATTAAATGATGAAATATGCGTACCATTAGAACAATGTGAACAAATTAAAACGGATATAATTATGCTTAATAAATATATTAATGAAAGAAAAGAATTTGAAACAAAAATTAATGTTTGTCAACAAAAACTTGGTAAATGAAATGTTTATTTTTGATTTAGAATATACATTAAAGTCAAACTTTTCAATAATAAATATATACATAACTTCCAAAGAGTGTCCATGGGGGTGGCGCAAGTCAGCTAACTCTGGCGGGAAGGGCGGGGTGTAGCAAAGATTTTTCGAGTAAAAAGATGAATTTCGCAATCTTTAAGGGGAGTGCAGAATTATCTTTTTTTAAAAACCTAAGTAGATTTACCGATATTGTTGAGCAAAAAATAGAAACTTTCGAAGGATTACGGGGGAAGGGGGTATTATACCCTCGCCATCGGTCGCGCTACCCCTGAGTGTCTGTAATTAAACAAGGTTTCTGAATTTCATCAATTGGCGAATGCCCACCGAGCCTTCGCCAGTATATCTAGCAGGCTTTTGCCATTAGCGAACTTTGAATAAACCTATTTTGGTTAAAAGATTATAAGCATTTTGCCTCAGTGGCGGGTTTGAGAAGGGGAGCGATGGGGACGGTCGCCCCTTCAAAAACGTTTTTGTAATTTTTTACAGCAAAAATGAACGAAAAAATAGTTATCAGCCGAAATCGCCCTTCCCTTCCAAAATCGTAGATCCGCCACTGTTATGCCTGACTGCCCTTTTTTAAAATTTCGATAGTAGAAAACTGCAAACATTCTTAAGATGTCTCAACATATATAAATTCATTATTTGATTTGTGTGGATACCACTGTTTGCGAGCGTGAGAGAATTAGTTTTTGACAGTTATAAATGTATCTGATAATTTCGTTTCGACACAAAAAATATTTTATCAACATAAAGTCATATGTATCCGTTCAGTATGACTGAAATAAGCATGCTGAGAGAGATTTGTTTATTTTTACTAATAAATAAGACTTCTAGGTAAAGGTCAAAAATCGGCTTCACGTTCACTTGATCAAGTCAAACAAATTAAAGATGAAGTACAAAGTCAATTTGATTTACTCGATAAAGAACTACAACGTAAACATAAAGAACTTCGTTCTCAACAAGACCTCGTCCAAGAATTACGTGAATCATTAACTGAACTTAAAAATGAAAAATTAAAATTAAGTTCTGATATACAAAAAAAAGAGAGACTTGATGAACAATTACAAAAATTAACAAATTCTATTCAAACACTTAAAGATGAAATTGAAAATGATAAACAATCATTAGAACCAATTATTGTAAGTTTTACTAAGAATAAAAAATGTGTTTTTTTTTAAACTAAAAGATTTCTAATTTAGAACGATATTGAAATGAAAACCAAAGAAAAAACTCGATTATCTTCAGAAAAAGAAAAGACATTGACTTCACTTAATGAATCTGTTCGTAATCATATTTTTTTTAGGATTTTTTTGAAGGTTATTTTATTCTCTAGGTCAATATTTTAGAACAAAAACTAAATGATTTGAAAACATTATCAACAGCAATTAATAAGTATGTTTATAAATTCTTTAAAATTGAAATTTTTTGTATGACTAAAGAATATTACAAACTAATGGAAATAATTATAAAAATCATCCAATACGAAAACAGCTGACTCCAGGCTATAAAAGCTATTTAAAATCATCTATAATTACTTCGACTAGTTTTGATTTATTCAATTAACACTACATTACTGCGGCTATCTTTATTAACTCTAAGCAGTTGTAATAGTATTACTTGACTCTATCTAATTTCAATATTCTATAACTGTGACTGCGAATATTTTATTTTACTAAGAGAAGTGTATTTGAATCGAAATAATTTTTATTTATGAATAGTCAAGTTTGTTTTTATTATATAGCTATGAAGATCGTACATCGAAATTATTGGAAGAACTTCGTTCATCTTTCGAACAAATAAATATCAAAGAAAAACAATTACAATCAGATTTATCATCATGTATAACAACAATAGCAAATCATAAAGATGATTTAGCACGAACTGATATTCGTTATCGACAATTAAATGATAATCGTCAATTACTTCGAAGTCAAATTGAACTTGTACAAAAAGAAAAAGATCTTATTGAACTTGAAGAACAAACTCATGGATTAAAGTAAATTGAGTAGTCTTTTTTTTTGTTTTTTATTAGAATTCATCTTTTATTATAGATTAGATTCACTTACACGTGAAGAAAAACAATTACGTTCAACACAAGAACTATTATTTAAAGAAAAACATACTGCATCAGCACGTTTAGCAACATTAGATCAACAATTAATTGAATTAGAACAAGAACTCGAACAAGAACATTTAAAAAATGCACATGAACGTTATTTACAACATTTTGTTCAACAAACTGTTGAAGAAATTGCATCACAAGATCTTGAACGTTTCTATAAAGTTTTAGATCAAACAATGATGACATATCATACACAAAAAATGAATCAATTAAATAAAATTATTCGTGATCTTTGGAGAACAACATATCGTGGTTCAGATATTGATGCAATTGAAATTCGTTCAGATGCTGATGAAGAAAATGCATCAAAAACTCGTCGAACATATAATTATCGTGTTGTTATGCTTAAATCTGGTTCAGTTATGGATATGAGAAATCGGTGTAGTGCTGGTCAAAAAGTTCTTGCTTCACTTATTATTCGACTTGCATTAGCTGAAGCATTTTGTCTTAATTGTGGTATTTTAGCTTTAGATGAACCAACAACTAATCTGGATTTTGAAAATATCGATGGGTTAGCTCAAGCATTAATCGAGTAGGTCACTATTTATTACCTAGGACATTTTATGACGATTAGAATACTAAATCCTTTTAATTTAACCTTTATGACTTGAATTGCGTTATTTATCATGATTCTGACATTTGACTCATCTCTAAATTGTATAATCGGTACGAAAATATATTTATTAATATTTTAGAATTGTTAAAAATCGAGCAAGTTTAAAAAATTTTCAATTAATTATTATTACACATGATGAAGATTTTGTTGATTCACTTGGTAAATCAGCATATGCAGATAAATGCTATCGTGTTTCGAAAACAAACAAGTATATTATATAATTAGCTGATTATTTTTAATTGTATATTTTATGGTTTTTTTTGTAGTGGTTTATCGAAAATTGATGTCTGCAATATTGCATCCTTTGGTGCTCATTGATTATATTCTATTTTAATACTATAAATGTATATTTTTGAAATTTAGTCAGGTTCTTTATTGTTATTTTTTTATGATACGAAAAATAAATAAATCAAGAAATATCTTGTTTTTTTCATATGTCGTTACAAAATATGATAGTTTATGGTTATGACGTAATGCTTAATCCATAGCTAAAGGAACCTTTTAACAATGAATGGAATTATGAACTTTGCATGATGTTGAGAACTTATTGAGTCATTTGTTGAATATGTATTCGAGCGCCCTCTATCATTCATTTTGATGAATATAAATTATTTACTAATAGGCAATTATGGTAATATTACTCACAAAAGATTAATTATTTTGTGGTTTTTGACCTCTCATCACCAATGATTGGAGACATATCTGTACTTATCATTTTCTTCGATTGTTGACAAGACGCGTGTCTATTATATAGCATTCCACGTGGATATAAATAATAATATACGCACTTTGTGACTTATATCTAATAGAAAAAGGCGTTACATAAAATTACAAATTATTAATACTATATAAATTATCAATTTAGATTTTTCTCTATAGAACAAGTGAGATAAATCGATTATCTATGTCAAAAATAGTAATTGATTCTCCATGGGCAAAAACTAAGGAAGATATATTTACTCTTTATAATGTTGACGAACAAAATGGTCTTTCAGAAGAAACTGTGAGAAAACATTTAGAACTGTATGGCCCAAATGGTAATTTCATTACATGGATTTCATAAATTTTATTTATCTTTTTTGTGTGTGTAGAACTACCTGCTGAAGTGGGTAAACCACTTTGGAAACTTATCTTAGAACAATTCAACGATCTTCTAGTCAAAATTTTACTTGCAGCTGCTTGCATTTCATTCGTTAGTTTTTATTTTTTTTTTTTGTTCAATATCATTACTCACCTTTTACTTTTTTTGAATAGGTCTTAGCCTTAACTGAAGAACAAAAAGAAGATGAAAGTCTTGTAGCTGCTTTTGTTGAGCCAATTGTTATTCTTCTTATTCTCATTGCAAATGCTACTGTCGGTGTATGGCAGGTAATATCTATTCATCTATTTATCTTCCGTATATATCATTCTTTTTTAAAAATATCTAGGAACGAAATGCAGAAAGTGCTATCGAAGCATTAAAAGAATATGAACCTGAAATAGCAAAAGTTGTTCGACAAAATCGTCCAGGACACATTCAAAAAATTAAAGCTCGAGAGCTTGTACCAGGAGATGTTGTTGAAGTAGCTGTTGGAGATAAGGTTCCAGCTGATATTCGTATAACATCGATCCATTCAACAACAGTTCGTATTGATCAATCATTATTAACTGGCGAGAGCGATTCTGTTATTAAACATACAGATCCAATAACTGTTGAACGTGCTGTCAATCAAGATAAACTCAATATTCTCTTTTCTGTAAGATCAATTACTTATCACTGAATGAATAAATGAATGTATGTCTTGTAGGGAACTAACATTGCTGCTGGTAAATGTCGAGGTGTTGTTATTGGAACTGGATTGAACACTGAAATCGGTAAGATTCGATCAGGAATGGCGGAAGCAGAAGAAGAAGAAGAAAAAACACCATTACAGCAAAAACTAGACGAATTTAGTGAACAATTATCAAAAGTATGTTTCATTCATTCATTAATTATAATACAATTCTATTTTATAATAGGTTATTTCTATCATTTGCGTCGCTGTATGGGCCATCAATATTGGTCATTTCAATGATCCCGTTCATGGTGGTTCATGGCTTCGTGGTGCTGTTTATTATTTCAAGAT